ATCACCCTCAGGGCACACACCTGAAATTAAATAAAAATAAAATTAAAATTAAATTAAAATATCCTAAAAATATCCTGAAATCACCCTCAGGGCACACACCTGGAATTAAATAAAAATTAAATTAAAATTTAAATAAAAAACCCAAAAATATCCTAAAAATATCCTAAAAATGACCTGAGATCACCCTGAGATCACACACCTGGAATTAAATAAAAATAAATAAAATTTAAATTAAAACACCCAAAAATGACCTGAAATCACCCTCAGGGCACACACCTGGAATTAAATAAAAATTAAATTAAAATTAAATTAAAATATCCTAAAAATATCCTGAAATCACCCTCAGGGCACACACCTGGAAATAAATAAAAATTAAACAAAAATTAAATTAAAACACCTAAAAATGACCTGAAATCACCGTCAGGGCACACACCTGGGAATAAATAAAAATAAAATAAAAATTTAAATAAAAAACACCCAAAAATATCCTAAAAATATCCTAAAATAACCTGAAATCACCCTCAGGGCACACAGCTGGAATTAAATAAAAATTAAATTAAAATTAAATTAAAATATCCTAAAAATATCCTAAAAATGACCTGAAATCACCCTCAGGACACACACCTGGAATTAAATAAAAATTAAATTAAAATTTAAATAAAAAACACCCAAAAATATCCTAAAAATATCCTAAAAATAACCTGAGATCACCCTCAGGGCACACACCTGAAAACAGGGAAAAACACCCAAAAAATTAAATAAAAACACCCCAAAAAAGACCCAAAAATACCCCAAAAAATAGCCTAAAAATACACCCAAAAATGACCCAAAAATACCCTAAAAATACCCCAAAAACCACCCCCAAAAATTTCCCCAAAATCCCATTTTTTTCCCCCAAATCCCCCATTATTTCCCCCCATAAATTCCCATTATTTTCCCCATAAAACCCCATATTTTTTATCCCAAAACCCCATATTTTTATCCCCAAATCCCCATTATTTTCCCCCATAAATCCCCATTATTTCCCCCCATAAATTCCCATTATTTTCCCCATAAAACCCCATATTTTTTATCCCAGAACCCCATTATTTTCCCCCATAAAACCCCATTATTTTCCCCCTAAAACCCCATTATTTTCCCCCTAAAACCCCATTATTTTCCCCCATAAAACCCCATATTTTTTATCCCAAAACCCCATAATTTTTATCCCAAAATCCCATTATTTCCCCCATAAACCCCATATTTTTTCCCCCATAAATCCCCATTTTTTCCCCCATAAATCCCATATTTTTTATCCCAAAACCCCATATTTTTTATCCCAAAATCTCATATTTTTCCCCCCATAAATCCCATTTATTTCCCGGTCCCTCACTCTCAGCTTGGGCACGTCCTGGATCCGAACGTCGTCGGTGACGGTGCCGACCACGACAGCGGTGCTGCCGTCCCTGCCCGGCTTCTTCATCATCCTCACC